ATAGACAGAGATAAAGAGAGAGTGAGAGCGAGAGAGGCAGAAAGAAAGTGAGAGAAAGAAAAAGAGAAAGAGAGAGAAAGAAAGAGAAAGAGAGAGAGAGAGAGAGAGAGAGAGAGAGAGAGAGAGAGAGAGAGAGAGAGAGAGAGAGAGAGAGAGAGAGAGAGGGTTACTGACCTAAGTAAGACATAAGTAGACCGCATCCTGTACCGTAAGCCACAGCGGCTACCGGAGCCTTGGGAAGCCGTTGACGTATATACTTGACCACCTGTCGCAAGTCACTGGGGTCGCCAAAACTCTGGCCAGACAAAGAACAAAAATTAAAAAAGTGAGACATTGTGTTGAAATCGGTGATTTGTCAAAATGATAATGAAGAAACGAGCACGGTACGTCAGTTTGGCAATTTTTATGGAAGTTTTGTTTTAGTTTGTTCTGGGTTGTTTGGCCTAACACCTTTGCGTTCATTTTGAGTTCACGTTACAGAAAAACGTTGGTTAAAGGCGCATTAAATGTGCATTTTCAGTTTCCAAGGATTCTTAATTAAGCTATGGAAGTCACCAAACTGTGGCGGCCATTTTCTAGCTAATTCTAACTCTGAAACCAGGCGACGACCTTCACCTGCTTCAATAGCACATATCTCTCCTTTTTTTCCGAGATAGATAAGTATTTCATTTCTTTTCACCAAAAGAAAGACATATGAACAAGATGGTACCCATAGCTACAAATGACCAAAAATTCAAGATCGCCTGATTCCATCACATCGTGACACAAATGTTGACCATGAATGACGCATGTACGGTGACAATCAATAATCCGTGGCAAAGCTGTCGGAGCTTTTGTAGTTTGTTTTAGTATGAGTTTTGCAACACTTAAAAAAAATAAGGTCATATAAGTGCTGAAGAATTATGAGGTGTTACAAGACATTAACAAATCCATAAAGAAGGGGAAGAGAAAAGGATGATAGATGTTTGATAGGAAAGAAGGAGCAAACCACACCAGACACATTACTTTTTCCCGACAGTCCTTCCTCTGTGAGTGGGTGGTTAGGAGGCACCCTGGTGTGGTTTACTCCTTCTTTCTTATCATGCATCTATCGTCATTATCCTTTTCTATGTATGTTATCTCGGATCTTCTGAAGATGAATTTCACTTTATTTTCTATTGTCCATATTTTGTCCATTGAAAGAACTTGTTCATACTTCCCAGCATGACTCGACCCAGTGACAGAAATAATATGCAATAGTTGACCCATGATAAGAGATATGTGCAGAACCTGTACTTTTTCATTATGGAAACTTTATTTAAAGAATGAGTGTTTTATATCATGTGATGTGGCTTGTAGCTTTAACTCTGAATACACTTACTTACTTCTCGGATCTCCGAAACGTAAACTGACCAGTTTTGTTTTGAGTGCCGTTTACCTCTCACTAAAGCTGAAACTTAATTTCCTGTCTGGACCTTTTTAGTTTCCCGTCATCCAGGTGTTTGAGATTGAGGGGGGGGGGAGGGGGGAGGAGGAGGAGGCGGAAGGCTGACCTCAATTTGAAATGATGTACATTATACCCAGAAGGACGTTCAACTCCAGCAAAATAAAACTTAAAAAAAAGAATGATGTACACTCTATACTGCTTACGAAAGTGATTTTTACACATTTTGCCTCATTTTTGTTGAGGTCTCGTTGACGGCCCACCACGATAATGCCTGTCTCCTGTAAGTCTCACCTGATTGGCCATAGCCTACAACGATCTAATCAGTCTACTGTATTTAAATCAAAGGCAGTGGCGTTTACAACTAGAGTGTGTAGGTGGGTGGATAGCTTCTTAATTTTGCGGTGTCGTTTGCGACAGTGGTAAAGCTTAGGATTTAACAAGGAAAATGTTGGATCGGAATCCAGAGGGTAAAAGATCATGGGGAAGACCACGTGGATTCTAGAGAAGAGGGACAGAAATTGATGTACTGGAGGCTAGCCCAGCATAGGAAAAGGTGGAAAGTGTTTGTTCGGGGCCTATACACTGAAGCAGGGTGAGAAAGGCAATGATATGATGATGATGATGATGATGATGATGATGATGATGATGATGATGATGATGATGGATTTTTTTTGTTTCCTTAATGGGCCTGACGGACTTCACTAAGAAATCTTCGAGCAAGAGGGAGGCTCTTTTTCGGCTCCATTGTCAATATGCTTAGCGGCACCTCCACTCGTCCAAATAACTCCATTCGAATTGCCATTGTTCCTGGACATTCAAACATATGTTTGACATCCTCCTTTTCATGGCCGCATCTTCGGCAACATGGGCTGAGCTCTTCATTTACATTTTTAGTTCTTATACCATCTTAAACTCCAATGATGGTCCGACCCCAGTCTCGCTAGCTCAACCTGGTCCCACCGACATGTGATATATTTTTGTTACCACTTATAGGAGTACCCAGAATACACATCTTCCAGGTGCCGGTACTTAGTTCTACATGGTGGGTCTCTGATTTCCCTCTTGATCATTGGAAAGACTCCTCTGTATGTCGTTGGCCGTCTGACTCCTTCAATCTCTCTGGCTTCATTAGCAGCTTGGTCTGCAGCCTCATTTCCTTCTATTCCAACATGGCTTGGAATCCAGTGGATTGTTATTGTGGCCCTGGCTTCACTGAACTTGCGGCGTAAATCATTCATGTCCGAGCTGTTGCCCAGCAGTCCCTTGCAGAGGGACTGACTGTCAGTCAAGATCAGCACATTGGTCTTACTGTGGCAATTGTCAGCAATCCATTGTGCAGCAGACATCATTGCCTGTCATTCATTATTACCACTGCCGCTGATCCATCTTCGCGGTATCCTGCGACTGCCGATCCATCGGTGAAAATTGTCACATCCGCACCAGCCTCTTTGATCACATCCTCAGCTGCTTCACGTGCCTTTACAGGATCATCACCTTTTCCTTTTACTCCTATCAGTTCTGTCCGAATTTCGATTTCGTCATGGGTCTCCCATGGACAAACTCTCACCAGATTGATCGGCCCTCGATTCTCTGCTTCAGGGGGAGGTGGTCTGCTAGATCGGTGACCATCCGAAACCAACTTTTCCTGCGGTTTTTAGGCTTGACTGCTTGATCAAGGGCTTTCTTTCTAGGATGGTTGTCTGGTAATCTCTTA